GATTCAGACCACGTTTGTCGACAGTGTTCAAGACACCAAACGAGGCACAAACCCGGTTGTCTGCAAACAAAACTATAAATGAGGACGAACATTACAGACACGCCCTTTAGCTGCTGCGGCATGGACTGTGGTGTCATCATCTCATGTTCACTAACTGTCACTACCTAATCCACTCATGCTGTGTGTCACCACACAAATGAGCACGCACACATGCACTATTCTACTAGTCATGCTAGTAAGTGTTGTCAAGCATTTCCTGTCAATGGTTTATAACATTGTGTACGTACATACATTTTTCATACCCTGTGGTTACATGCCATATAGAGCATCTGCTCTGGAACTTTTATTTACTTTTACTAATAGCTTCACTTATCTAATGAATTGTACCATGGCTAGCGGTTCTGCTAGAGCTAAGGTTTCGAAGCGTATCGCAAGCACCCGCCTGGCATTCATAAGACTGACACATTGACGGCGCAGACGCAAAGTCATTATCAAACTCTAAGGCAGAGTGTTTATTGCTCCGTCTGTGCGGTCATATTGTATGAGTATGAGACTTGTCCTCTTTATTCGGTGGGCATGAAATTACGGTCGATTTTGATAGGCTTTGTCTGCAATGGATTGCTCATGTATGGTGGAAATATCACGTTGGCAACACAAAAGTCCGATACCGAGTGGTTGAAGCAAACATCCATTGTCTTCGAATAGGTATTCTATGAAACCGCATGCGATAGCTTAGCTTAGCATGGCGGATGCTAGACTATATCCATCCTTTTCCAGCGTTACGTGAGTTTTCCGGGGCCGCAATGGACCGCCAATGACGTGGAAAAGAATTATGAGGAAGATAACATCAAGCTTGCCCATAGCTACACCGCTCAATCGCCTAGGCGGAGACAACGTGACTCTAACTGCCAGTAATTGGCAGAGTTGGATGTTATGACCCAAAACAACAAAAGTGGCACCAGTCTTTTTCTCTAACATAAAATGCGAAAATATCTTTCATAATTTGCTAAATACTTTATGTTCTTTTGCTAGTTTTACATTCCTTTCATTACTATGGTCCTAAAATACATTGACTGCAAGAAAACTGTGAATATTGGTACACATATATACAGGCTCGGAGATATATTATTCTTATGAGCTGTCCAAGTATGTAGTGCATATACTCACTCAGCTTTCGAAAACCAAAATATGACTGTTTCAAATCTGCTCGTTTCAACAATCTTAAAGGACAGTGATACACCGCTGATGTCTATCTCACATGCAAGGGGTACATTTGGCTTCTTAACCACGACGATCGGCTCTGTCCAGAAGGAATAAGACACAATCACCAGGAGGCGCATGTCTTCTAATTGTTTAATTTCGGCATCAGCCTAATGACATGACTGCGTATAGAACTGGCGTATTTGGACGGAATACCGGTAGAGCCCCAGGTTCAAGCTGTAACGCGGAGCGTGTGCATGTACAGTGGCCATGACCATCATGGAACACTGCCGCAAACTATCTGATGTTGTCAATGGTTTGTTCGTTTGGTACTGCCGGAGAATTTACTGCTCTGCAAATGGCCCGAATAAGCAGATGGTCTAAGCCAATGTTTTCAACTCAGTTGAGAACAATTACGTTGAGCTTCGCCTTTGTGATGTAGCAGATCCAGTTTAATGGGGTGTCTCGAAGCGAGACGGAACAATGCAATAAGCCACATCCGACCACCACAGTCGCAAATGGGTGCTTGGGCAATAGATTCGAATGTAAGTTTGCTAAGGGATCTCAAGTGGTCCTCAATGATGATCGTATTACCGGACACAGTGTCCACTTGTCTTGGAACGGATTGACCGTTGACCAATTTGTTGAGGAATTTTTTGCGATCCGCAGCATTGAATGGAAAGGTGGCCAGCAGCATGGGTAAGCTGCCAACCGGACTGGATTTGTGTTTGCGTCTGGGTCGGGACATCTGATTTGAACCGTACGATCACTTGAGGTTCCATCAAAATGGTGTTGGGAAAACATGGGGGGAAATTTGACATACACGAAATCTACCAAGATATATCGAATCTAGTATGGTTACGCCAACACGCAGAATAATGGTACCTATTACAGAATATATTACTCGTGTCGTATTTCATGGCATCTAAATGGCAGTTATCAATGAGATAAATTAAATGGTGTTAATTGAGATGTGGGATAATATATCATCAACAGTGAACGCAGCCACCAAAACAAAGGGACTGTATAGCCTGCGTTATTAATACGGAGAATTTTCACAAAGCAGCTTCACTCGGCAAGGCGGTTGGCTTAGTTGTGGCAATATTAGCTTAGGAGGCTATTGCTTTGAGCGTAGGTCAGAGTACCCACTCCTTTGTGGAGTGGGCTAGAGGGAAATGTGTGCGACTGTATAAATCACAGTCGTTTCGGAGACATTCAGTAAGCATATTTCCCAATACTTCATTATAGTGCAATGCACTTCCTGCCATTTGTTAATTTCTGATTTCAGGGGGCGCATGAAATAAATCGGTTGGTGCATTGTGTGAGTAACATGTTACTTTTGTCACAGATGGCTAGTTAATTCAAGTAAATTAACCGGTGATTGCTGTAACATTTATAACACGCTGGAAGGGAATCGCGACTGCGGGATGCAGGGGGAGAATACAATCATTAGGGGGTACAGAGTTATTTCATCTGCTTAAACTAAAAAAATTGGTTAATCACAACTAATGAACGTTTTACGCTCATCAAGAACGTCCAAGTTGACGACAGCACTCAAAGACCGTAACTGCAGTGTGCATCACATGAGCTCATACTAATCTCTTTATTCACGGTTTCTATTACGTTAATTGCCTAATAAAAGATGCAGACTGCACACGAACGTCTGATGGTTGTATAACAAGAACCAGCTAGTGCATAGTAGAACAATATACGGACAACAGGAACTCCCTTGATTGCTTCGCCGAGCCTGAGTACATGGTTGCAAACAGTCGCAGAGGAAGGTCAGCTGCTCAGCAAATCATTCAAAAGATGAAAAACCAACCCGGGTTAATAATGTTTCAAATCTTTTCGAAAACATTAGCATGTATAGCCACACGAACTGAGAACATATGGCTAAAATCTGACATTCCTATTACCTATGTTAAACCGAAAACCGTTTTTCGACATACAGCACCAAACAAGAACGGAAAATGTATGGCCAAGCGATAATCGTTATGCGAAGATGCAGTTAACAGAAATTGGAATTATTTCTGTAATACATTTGTGCAGCGCCAGTCAACTGGTACAGCGAAAGTGAACATTTATAATTATAGCAAAACAAATTCGCACTAGATAACACTGGGCGATATTTAATCACAAGATCGACTGTGTGATTGAGCTAATATGACCGAGAAAACTAAACATAATTAACCGTTTAAACCGTTAAAATTGGTTTTGCAAGTGGGAATTCGTCTATAACAGACCATGGAACTTTGGGTACAATGTGTGGATAGTGCTACTTTTGTTCACAAGATGAAATGCAATTAAATTGCCAGAAGGCAGAAGTGTGAGACAATGGTCCAATGGCTTCACCGTCATCTCTGAACTACGCTGCAATAAATTGTCACCCAAAGTAGTAGACGCAAAAGGGACTGTCGTGCGAATATTGACGGCGAGGGCTGAGAGAGGTGTGTATGGAAGGGTAGTTTGTTGGGAGCTCCCTTATGCTCCTCTTATCGTCGCTGGTGTGATTCACGTCTACCGGTCACGCATGATTGCAACACTAATGGCAAAAAGCTATGTATGTCAGAAAGATCTTGGTTGGTTTTTATGAGCTATTGCACATTTTATCGTTGTTATAAAGCTTATCATCCCTTCGCCATAACTAATCGTCTTTAGAGACTGTGCACATGTGGTGGATTAAAGGTAGATACTACTGCGCTGGGTATAAGTAGTGTGGTGGTGCAAGATTACACACCAACAGCGAGCCCTGCCGACATCCCCAAAGGTGAAGATGACATCAGGATTACAGTTCCATGCGCACGAATAGTGAACACAAAGGCGAGCACCAGTTGGGGAACACTCCATAGAAATCACGTACATGAGCGGACGCCTGCAAGGTATGAACGAACATACCTAGTGTAAGTCACTTTAGCGACAAACAATTACCGTCTGCCCCTTGGGTTCTAACACACGGATGAGATGAGAGCGAACAAGTGGGTATTTCGACACTTTTGGTGTCGTGATTTCAAGCATCATGCAATACGTGAGTATAGAATTTTTCCTTGGGCACTGCACGTTTTATGTACGAAGCAGCCAAGCCAAATTTCAGAACACAACCGATGTGTTGCGTATGAATTGACTTACACGATGTATCACCGTTTGATACTAAATTTAGTAAAAGCAGAAAGTCCTTGACTTGCGTGCTGCAATTGTGTGAACAAAAATATACTTTACATGTTTTGAGCGAAATCTCCTGCAGCAAGTGGTATTATTTATTAAATATCATCGCAAATTTTATTACGTAGTTCAATAAGTGAATTTCATGGTACTCAACTTCGCCTGTTATTTGCATTCATCATATAATCTTGATTACAGTAGAAGTTTCCTAAATGCCACAGATTGGGTATCGCCCTTTGCTTATTAACCAGCTGGGTCTATGCATTCCCCTTCCTGTTTTTACATATTTCTATCGCGAGTATCATGCGAATGCGATGCTGACATGCGGCAATTAAGATACGCGCTGTTCTATTTAATAGGTAAACTGGAGCTCACCATCAATTAACTAAGTGTTACATTTTTGCACCTATTTACTGTTGTTAATTCAATCCTCTCTCCCGTTGTCGTTAAAGATGGCATAAGAGAAGCAAGACAAAGACCGTCGTTGGATAATATGCAAGATATTCCGATTCCCGGTCAACCTTTGGTGTACACTCCCATTGTCACAACGATAGGGTACCAGGGTAAAAATTTCCAGTCTGCCGCTTATACCAGCATTGGTCCTGGGGGTTTCCGCATGACAAGCAGGGCTCCTTTGACATATGACGCATCTGAAAGATTACAGTGTAGTGGTTCCAATGAACCGGAGCATAGTGGACTCATTCTATGCTCCTTCGCAAGACCTAGATGAAGGCCGTTCTGTTCAAGGCGATGTAGCAATACAGCACCAACCCAATATATCACCGCTGTCCATGGAATACTTTGGGGAAGCAACAGTTGCTAGTGGAGAGTCTTCTGCTTGTTGGGCGCGATTGGCAGAATTTTGTATTCGCATATTCAGATGTAAACGATCCAACAAGCGGGGATTACCTGGAGCAAACATGTCTTCGAACGCTGGAATGGGCTTCATGGAGCAAAAGGAATTTGCCTCGCTACGCGCAATGGCAGCGCTGGCCGCAGCCACTGCCGCAACTCCTGTAACAGATACGAGCAACGCTCCTTAATACGATAAGCATTGTTATTTATAAGTAAGTATAAGGTGCTCTTTGAAGGTTAGTCGTTGTTTTTGGGATTGGTAGTATTAGCGCACGACTATAAGTGCTCTTCCTGATAGCTTCCATGTTAAATAGGGTGGGTATAGTTTTAAGCATTTGACGTTTAAACTAAATTGTATAACACAAAAGTTTATGATATCGAAGTTTTATGCGTGTCTACTGGAAAACACAAGGCATATTTGTTAATGTTTTAATGTCAAGTCTACTTGACTGTTAATTTAACGTCATTGTAAACAAATCTGAATGTTTCTCAGTTTCTAGGTTTATATCCCATAACTTGGAGGTTTGAATATCTTTCTGTGCCGGAACTCATACATCCGAGGTCAGGAATAAATTATTAGTATGTTATAGAGAAGCACAGGTTTCAGGGTCCAGGAAAAACAAAACGCATAGAGGTGGACACATGTAAAAGCAGAACGTATAAACAAAACAGAGGAAAAGCAGCTATTAAATGGCATCTGGATGCATGCGCTAGTAGCAAACCATTGAAAACCTCCATGGATTTTCAAAAGATGGTTTCAGATTATCCGCCCTGTGCTAGGTCTTCGAAACGATCTCACTGTTGGTTTCTCGGTCATAGAGACCACTGGAACCGAATCTGATGTGGAGTGGTTTCCGCTGTTTTTACTCCCAAGCTTTCAAAACCCTAGTTTTAAATAACAGTAGCAGGACCAAGCGTCACTCCTGCATTTCCGAGGATCGTTGACTAATGCGTCAACAATCAACCATTAGATTCCCAATCCTAATCTCATTTCTGGCAAATAGGTCAAAAGTGCATATGACCTTCACAGTTCAGAGAACAACGCCATGCACTCTGTGAATTACGTCACACTGCGTAAATAATTGATCGTTTGCACGTTACTTTTAGTCCCGCAAGTAAATCTTCCAGGTTGTATATATGCACTGCCATTAAATATACGCTCGATGGGAAGGTATGGCTTGCTACTAGACAATAGGGTATTCTTGTAGTTTACCATGGTGGTGTGCAAGAAGACACAAACGACGCAGGTCAGTAACTTTCGTCAATCATGTATCCACTTAATCATGTTAATAGCGATAGCATTATTCTTGTGTCTCCTCATTGACGGTGGTTGCGAGTGGCTTGTCTATGGCCCCGCATCTTGCCCCACGCTACTTCACATGTGGATTCGTTAGTATACCAAAAAGCAAATTCTTAAAGAGTTGGGAATTTCAATTGCATTCATAATGCTAGCATACCATTTGCAACACCTAACCACTGAAAAAAGGATTTGGGATTTCAGCAGCCTGTGTGAGTACGTTCTTGTGCGAACACAACTGAGCAGCTAGTGCAAATGAAACATTGTGTATCAAGCAAATTTATTGCTAATGTTTTCATAGATCTTTATTGGACTGAATTAAAATGAGAATCGTAAGTAGCGTTGTACACTCAGATAATGCCGGAATAACTTCCTACGTGACCGTCATTTTACACTGGGCAATTTGGGTACAAGGTACCGGACACTTAGATGATAGTTGGATGTTCCTCAGAAGAAACTTCTGGTGTCAATTGTGGATTGCCTGAGGACCCAGAGAATTACTTTATGCCTATTTTCGTAATCAGTAGTCTGCTGCATTTGTCCATCAGGACACTGCACGGTTTTTCCCAGCCATAAAGCGATGGTTTTGTGGGTTGGATTACTGCGCGGGATATAGTCGCTGATGCAGATGACGGAAACTATAGCAAACTGGAAGCTAGAGCTCACGCCTGGGGTCCACTAAATCGGGTGTCGTGTCTTCAATAGAAATCGTATCGCTCGACAAACCGAATGCATGGGCAGGCATCTTTATTAACCAATACTCGATGACTCGGTCAATATGCGTAAATTGTTGCCAAGAATTGCAACTAACCAAGAAAAATCAGTTGCGATGAAGTTGTGGCGGATCCGAAACCGGGGTATTGTCAAATGCTTCACGGTTTTATGGATATATTCCTCATGCAAGCGTATTTTGACGGCCACAAAAACCTCAGTTAGTTATAGACGGTAAGACAAATTTTGGAAACTATAATTTAAACAAAAGTTATCCTTTAGAAACTTGTTCCTCCACTGAAAATGTGTACATGCGTTAACCGAAAAGCCACGTTTGCACTCAAATTAGACTACCTGAGAGAGAGAGAATTACTAAGCATGGGTTCTCATACTCTTTCAGCGATTCGTTTATAACTGCGCATTCATTCGCCTTTCTGAGAAGACTAATTGTCTCGTGGAGCGGGTGTATTTAAGATAGCGTTTTGTCGAAAGGTAAACAATTTGTTAACATTTACATCATGTGTGAGCGCATGGTGGACAGTAAATAACTAACAAAGGAATAAAGGGAAAATAAACACGTGAATTTGAAAAGGAATATGCAGAAAAAGGACATAACTGAGTAAATTAACTGGAGTGGAATACAATTTATCCGGGATAAGAAATTCTAGTTTAGTAACTACATCCAAATTTCCATAACGAAGGATGCTGTATGCTTAAACAGCAAACCTACATGCATTTATCCGTATATGTAGGTACATGTTATAGGAGACAAATTAACAGCAAGCTCCATGAATTTTACAAAGATGCGCATTTCACATAATATGGATGCAAAACGTTTCTGTATTTATCTTAATCCTTTTTCCTTTTATCTTTAATATTTGTATCACCGAGCAAAGGAATCAAAGCAGTTATGCAAGCAAAACTTCCACCAATTCCGTTTGTAGGCAATCTCCCTATTGTTGTGTCTTCAGCCGATGTGACTACTGGATCCAACTGCCCAAATGTATGATGTCAGCGATCTCATGTGACGAGTAGTTAGCCAACCACCAAGCAGATACCTCCAGCTTAATCCCGAAAGATTGAATACAGTGCGGCTGATCGGACGCTCGTGTGCCTTGAGCAGAACCTGATAAAGCCATCTGAGCTAGCAAAATAAACTTAGATAATTGAGGGGAATTCTCGGATTCATCAGGATCTGGTGTACACCTTTAGCGACATGCACTTGATGTTGGCACCAAATATGACTGACTACCTTCAAACAACATGTATCAAATACCGAATCGTTGTAAATCATCTGTAGGAAGTGGTACGGACTTATCACCATAGAACACCTAGCGAACGGAGGCACTGCAAACCAGGAATATAACTGAGATTTGACTTCCCTCGATGCCCGAAGTTATCTCAAAGTAACAAGCGACTATCAGGCTTTGATAAGGTGGATAAGATTCTTCTATATGATGACACAACCCGTGAAAGCACAGATCGTAATATTAACAAGGCATGTACTTGCTAGAAGTTTGCGTTTTCAAGCTTGAGCAAGGGAAAGGACATGGACTGGTCCTGGAACAACACACACTGTCTACAATCCAAGCAACCTTCGAAAAGTTCAGCTTGTCATCATCAATTCAGAAGATATCATAAGCACGGTGTAATGGAGCCACGCACACAACTTTTAGTAGCACTAAAATGCACTTTGTATGCGTATTAGTGATCCGGACAAAATGGCATCCAATAAAAGTTAAGGAGAAGCAACGACATATCAGCTGCTCCTTGCACCGCTATTAACAACGTAGCTAAAGCAGGTTGTCGTAAGCTCTCGCTGTGCAAAGGATATAAAATTAAGGAAAGATGACTGTATGCGGGTTAAGCAGCATCAGCTTAAAGTCCCCTTGAGTAGTAAGGTGGGTTTAACAAAAAGTGATTAAAACAGTAATTTACGTGCCAAGTGAAGCAGTTAGCATTTTCACACTGCAGTCATGCAAGCGGGGTAGTTTTATATCGCCCACAGATGAAAGGCAATAAATTCAATGTATATATAATGAGTAGGACGGAGATATGAAGCTAAGTGACAAAAATAACTGTCTGAGTGCGTCAGAGAACTGTCTTTTTAAAATGGTCCGTTGCATTGCAGAAATGACCGATTTGAGATGAGCATATTTCGGTGACGTACTTCAGTGTTGCGTAATTCAAGAAGTGCAAGCAACGCTGTAAAGTCATGAACGGAAACTGGAGGGAGACCAAAGAGAATGTAAATGGCAAAGTGCTGCAAATTAGCTCGTGGCCTAATGAGCAAGCCGGGAATGGTTCACGGGTGACAAAATAGCTCGGTCCTACACCGAGCAGAGCGGGGAACGAAGTTATAGAGAAATTGACTTTCCGGGGAGATAAGCATTTGGGCACTCCCCAGGAAGAAACCAAAGGAGGGCGATGCAATCACAATTAATGAAGTCAAGAAATATCGAAGCAATCTAGGCGACCAAAACTGGACGGATGTAATGCGAGATATATGTTGAAACATGAGGCTTATGCAGTCACCTAATCGGCGTAGGCGCAAGGGTGTGACGCCAGCGGATTCAGGAAAAGGTGGTGCGCCGTGGGAGGAAAACATGGCCCTTAGCTTTGTGTCTGCGTGAGTAAGCTAATTGCCTGATTTCGTGTCAAGAAAGATTGTACTGCATTCCGCGTCGCACTGCTGTAATAGTAGAGTGTAAAAGCAAAATATGCGAAATTCCAGCTAGAATACGTTTTACCCTCACAGGAACTGTTTCTTTGGCAAAGAATATAGTTGAATAACGTTGACTGACTGGATCAAACACATGAAGTATACGTAGAAATGTGAAGATAATTAACCTCTGGTGAAGATAGCGGTGCAAATGGATTTTTCTACATATGAAAGTTTCATCCTCTTACCTATATTTATGGCAAAAGGGCTGTGTCTGGATGGATAGTGCTCCCATAAATATGCAGTCCCACCAAATGTAATACATTAAATCTGTTTTGTCACCAAAACCTTTTATAACCGTCAATTGTTAAGCTTAAACTGACAAACAGATAGTAAATCACATGGAAAAATTTTTGACTGCCCTAGAAAAATTACATCATCCCTTGGTTTCAATTGCTTTTCTGACTATAAGTTCAGTGTTGTAACTGTCTTTTAACCGTCAGGCGATGTGTTCGAGG